AATCTATTTAAGGATTATATTTTTTTAATCAAAATAATCATAAAATAATTGGATTAAAAAGAGATCTTATGACATTAAATATTACTACACTATTATGATCTTTAATTGCTATATCTAAAGGAACATTCTCATAAGTAACGTCTCTAGAAGATGATAAACAACTATTTATGAATTTTATATGTTTGAATTTAGTTTTTTTGACTTAAAATATTTCTTATTTTTTAACAAAGTCTTTGTCTATAAAAGAGATTGAGACTCATGAATCTAATAATATAAAGACTTTGTATTTTTTAATATTGAAATATACATCTATTATAAAAGAAGGTGAAGATCTAAGGAGAAAATAGGATCTTTACTAGATATTATATATAATTCCAGTTGCATGGTCCCTATTATAACTAAAAAAAACTTATTTTTTGATACATTATTTTCTTTGGTAATTGTGCTCTTCATTTTGTGATTGTGTTGCTTCTTTGAACAATCCTCAAAATTTTGATCTTGTTCCATTAAACTTCTTGGGCATACTAATCCTTGTCCTTTTCATACTTATAGAAAAAAAAAAATTTAAATTAAGTTATGAGGTTGATTTACTTCTTTCTTTCAATTGTATAACTTTTTGATATAGACTCTAAATTTCTTTCATAGGCGTAAGATTAGTATTTCCATGGTTGAGGCTTGTGATGCATGAAATTTCAACCCTAAGAGTATTGATAAGTTCTTGAAGATTATCAATAGTTACAATTTTATTCTCAATTTTGCCAAGTATAGCATCCATGATATTTCCTTCCATTTCAAATAACTTAATAAATCCACAAGTCAAATTAGAGTAGGATAATTTGTAACCTCTACCATCAAATGAAAATTTCTACAAAGAGGGATAATCTGCTCTCTTTAAAGAAGATATCAATATTAGAAAACCAAACAATTTGTTTAAAAGTAGGTAATCTGTAACCTTCAAAACTCAACAATAAAAGTGAAAAAATTCCTAAAGTCTAAAATAAGATAAAAATAATGAGTTAGCACTCTTGTCAAACTGTTAAAGATATAAATCTCAAAAAACTAAAATGTCAATACATTCTTGTGTCACTCAAAAAGACTAGAAAATCACTCAAAGATAATATAGTATTAAATTAGAATGGCTATTGCCAAAGACAAGAAGATTAGAAAGTCTTCAAAGAAGACTAAAGATTAGAAAAGCATTGACAAGGATAAAGAAGGCTTCACTCTTGTCTCCATATATACTCTCAACTAAGAACTACATAGCGATATCTTATAGGACCTCCAAAATATGTTGATTTTATAAGAGATATATCTTAACTTATAAAGCAAGTTTTCTATATGTCTACTACATATTTAGCTTGTTCCACAAGCTATCAACACATGGTTAACTTATTGACCAAGTTTCTAACCTACCAATCAACTACAAACACATATAAAGTCAAAGCAATATCTCTAAAAAATATTATAAAATGAATCTACCTTATATACTTCTTAATCATATAAGAAAATATTAGAATATATATATATATATATATATATATATATATATATATATATATATATATATATCATACAATGCTCCTACAAACTTCTTTTAAATAAGTTACCAATGTGGTAGCATAGATGTCTTAAAAGTTATCTTATAATACACCATTGAGCTTCAAATATAGAATAAAGGATTTTCAAAGCTTTTAAGAACTCCTAGAACTTATTATTTGAAGTGAAGTGCTTCTTTCAATTTATGAGGAATTTTTTTTCTACATGCCAAAGATACAAAAAATACTAAGTATTAGATAAGATAGTTGCAACTACAAAGACTAAAGGCTAAATTATAATTTGTAATGATCATGTTTGGTATTGCAATGCCATAAAAAAAAACCACAAATTTATGCAAATATCCACTTATAGTCTCTTTTTTCTTCTTTGACTAAGAAAAAAATATTGACTTTAATCATGTTTGGCCCTCAATACTTAAAAGCAGCATCTTGAAGTAGTTTCTTTTATATTTGCAATCCAAAAGTAATATATTATAGTATTTTTTTTTGTTATATTGACAAATATTAAATAAGCTAAGTTTAAGTATGTAATATAGATGCCAATATCACATTACATTGTATATTTCTAATCTATTCTTTTTAATTCATTTGTTAGAGCATGCATTAATAAATAGCTCTTCAATTACTTACAATAAGCTTATATAGTGGCATTATAGTATCTCTTCACTATACCAATTAGTAATTTATATTCATATTATCAAACCACTAGTCTTTGATATGGAAAGATACATCTTAAGGCAAGCCTTTCTATTGCCTATTTTTTGGCTCTTGATAGTTGGCAACAACTATGTTGTCATATTCATCAAAGATTCATAGTTATGCTTATTATTATGTACTTTCAATTCCTAGCCTACCATTTGCATCCAATAAGGCATGTTTCATTTTGCATTGTCTCTCTTCCAAATCCAAACTATAAGGATTGCAATATTAACCACTCATATTACATCCCAATATAATTTGCTGATGCTTATCAGATTGCACAATCAAAACATTGTACCCAAATTGGTAATATTGATTGCAGATATAGGCAATGAAGTTGTTGTAGTTTGCAAAAATATGGATATTACCAAATTATATAGTAAGACAAGAGAAGAGGGAAAAAACAACAAAAGTGAAGAAAATTTTGAAAGCTAAAAAAGTTATTATGTATGTTATTTAGAACTATTACATCAATCAATTACAATCAACTCATTCACAAATACACCTAATATATGTGGTATTAGGTGGAAGTATATATTATGGACCAAAATAAATATATATATATATATATATATATATGATTAAAAAATTAGATGTCTCATTTTTTACCCTAGATTCTATTAAAAGAGTAGGTAATACTATTAAATATACATATATATATATATATATATATATATATACACATAAAAAGGCAAGAAATACATTTGTAGCAACATATTGTTATTAAGTGATGGCTAGAATTACTAAATAAATAGATAGAAATATAAATTCTCTTCATATATTGTGAAAATAATTACTTCTAAGTAAGTAGAAAAATAAAGATTTATCTATATAATAGTTAGGCCTAAAAATTTTAGAAATCTTAACAATGATCTTACAAGGTGTAGATTTTAATCCTATAATTGTCATCAAAACAACTCTATTGCTTAAATATTACATAATTATATATCAAATTATTTGATGTATAATTATGCTTCTTTAGACCTGATACAAAATGCATGATAATTATTTCTCCATCTATAATATTTTTTAATACAATAAAGTAACTAAATATTATCTTTCATATTGGCTCCAATTAAATATATCATTTAGGTTTTTATTACTTTTTTGTTGAAATTTGACATTTTTTTTTTTCCAACCTACCAAGAATTAATTCCTAAAATTGGCACTTAAAAAGATGAATATATATATAATCAAATCTGGAAATTAGGTAGATCCAAAAAAACAAAAATAAATAAAATAACATGTTTGTTTGATTTAATAGCCTGTAACCCGAAGGGTGATAAGATTTGTCTAAAGGAAGCCTAAAAGGTGTTCACAATAGCAACTTCCCTATTCCTCTAAAGTAATAAAAATCCAATTCTATCTTCTAAATAAAAAGTATGCTTTCGCCGAAGGAATAAAGTAAAAGGCGATCCTAGGGTTGTCCGAAGGATCTAGACAGATTGCACCGAAAGAGCACTTCTGAGTCCGCGGTAACGGGGTCTCAGGTCGCGCCATCGACATGGTGCGGCGGAGATCGCATCGACCACTGGAGCACGCAAATCCTCCAATACCATCCACGATCACACGACGACTTGCAACCGCAACACGAAATCTAGACCACCCTCGAGTCGATCGGGTTCGAAGTTCATTCGGTGATGTCGGCGTCTTAGGCCCGGAGTTCGGCGGTTGACCTTGCAGTGACAACGGCCGGTCTGTGCGCAGTAAATTGTGCCGCAGGCTTGTGTCCTGGATTGTGTTGAGCAGGTTCCTCCTTCTCCGACGACACATCTGCTTGCGCTCTGCGCAGTCTGTCAACGCCGTCCATGCTAAATTGCTTTACTTCGCAGTCGAGTACCAGCGACTTCCAGATGCTTTGCGGCGTGGATCATGACATGGAGACTTCGAGACTGTTTCGGGGTAGGCTCAGCACGATTATGCGGTCAAAATAAGTACTCAATTTTGCACCGCTACTTGACTTTGTTCCGGAGAATCTTATAACCTACTCCGAGCAGCGAGTTACCAACAATACCTTCCTCAGGGTCCTGCAGGTCATAACTGCATCGGTTGGGGTATTCGGTGGCAAATTGGAAATTGCGGCTCACTAGCTAAGGTGATGTGGAGATCTGTTCCCTGGAATAGCAGATGGAATTGATCGATTGGGAAGTGGACCCTTTTCGAAAAGCTCGACGTGCGCGATTTTCTGTTGGGATCAACTTTCACTGCCGCATTTACTGGCGACCCCTTGCTCTCGCATCCGAGGGCCACCTCTGGTTCTTAGAACATGCGTTTATGATAAATTACTCCTCCAAGCTCCTAAAACCATTCCAAGTGATATCAAAAAATCTTCTAAAGTCAAAAAAAATTCCAAAGTTAATATTATTAATATGAAAATTAAATCTTACTAGCATGACGGCACATTCTCGGGGGAACTAATCTGAAAGTCATGAAATTCCGGTACTTAGGTCAACGGGAAGCAACAGGTACTCTGAGTGGTCTCATTGTGGTTGCATTCATCGATCTAACCATTCCTCGAAGGATTCGACTTCTGAACTCTGGATATGTCATTAGGTGTTAAAAGATAATACAGTAATCCAAAAATATTATCTTAAGCAGATGGATGTGGAACGTACCATCTCCTTTGATTTAATCAGTCCCAACGCCGAGTTCCTGCAATTCAGCAAATCTGACCGACACCAATCGCAGAATGCATACGTACATAAGTGTCCAGTTCATGTCACAGCGCAGTATTCACAGGTTCTACCATAATCGGATTGGTGGTTGCCGAGGTGATCTATTCCACCACAATCCTCTCAAGAGACTGTTGGTCTCCAGTCCATTGCTTGGAAGATCAGATCTGACCAACATGAGGCTGTCGAATCTTCACCTTCTGGTCGTGGCAGCCCTTGCATGGCCGAGCTTGGTATCAATGGCACTGGCGTTCTCGAGAGCTGATTACGCAGACGCGCTGGACAAGTCCATCATTTTCTTCGACCTTCAACGATCGGGGAGGCTCCCAAGCTGGCAGCGGCTCAGGTGGAGGGGGAATTCGGCACTAAACGATGGCCGCTCCAACAATGTATGCTAAATAGATTCTTCCAGAAGTAGAGGCAGAAACTTTACGCAGCAATTTCATTGCAAATTCATGTGCCTGTACACTTTTTATCCGCGAAATTGGACCTCTGCTGAAATTGTAAAATTGACCTTGACGATGGTGGACTCTTGTGCAGGTTGATTTGAGTGGAGGGTACTACGACGCGGGAGACAACGTTAAGTTCGGGCTTCCAATGGCATTCAGCGTCTCCATGTTGTCTTGGGGAGCGGTGGAGTTTGGCGATGCGTTGAGGATGACCGGGCAGCGGGGGAACACACTGAATGCCATCCGTTGGGGTACAGATTATCTACTAAAAGCCAGTGCGCGTCCCAATGAGCTCTGGGTGCAGGTTGGCGATCCCAACAGTGACCACCAGTGCTGGCAGAGACCAGAGGAGATGGACACGCCCCGAAATGCATACAAAGTGGACGCGGTCCGCCCTGGATCCGATGTCGCTGGTGAGACGGCCGCTGCGCTAGCCTCGGCCTCGATTGCGTTTCGGGACATCGACAATGCCTATTCTGCGCGCCTCCTCTCCAGGGCCAGACAAGTATGACCCAGAAAAACTTCCCAAATCCAACTTATTCTAAATCTGTCTTTCGGTTCAAACGATCTTGTATTTACAATGTTTCGTTGAATAATTGGAGTAGGTGTTCGCCTTCGCGGATAGATACCGAGGCAAGTACAGCGACGTGCTCGGAGGAGTGGTGTGCCCCTTCTACTGCTCCTACTCGGGGTACATGGATGAGCTCGTGTGGGGCGCCGCATGGTTGTATAGGGCTACCCGTGAGAATGGCTATCTGAAATACCTGATTCGCAACGGCAATGCCCTCGGTGGCAGCACACAGTCTGTCAACCAGTTCAGCTGGGACAACAAATACGCTGGAGCGCAAGTGCTGCTTGCTCAGTTTGTTATGCAAGGCGTGAACGGGCTGCAAGGATATAATGACCGCGCGGATAGCTACATTTGCGCCGTGTTGCCACGGAGCATCAGTTGGAGCTCCCAATTGCAGTTTTCACCGGGTGGTATGTTGTACACAATGGGCCAACTTAACATGCAGTATGTGACAAGTTCCAGTTTCCTGCTCACAACGTACGCACGATATCTCTCTGCAGCGCGGAGAACTGTGAACTGCGGAGGGCGCCAGGTAACCGCTGCCCAGCTCTTTTCCGCAGCCCAGCGGCAGGTGGACTACATGCTGGGGCGTAACCCGAGGGGCTTGTCCTACATGATCGGCTTTGGGAGAAATCCCACACGAGTGCACCATCGCGCAGCATCGCTGCCCTCTATCAGAACTAGCCCCCAGAAGATCGAGTGCAAACTAGGTTTCAACTGGTTCAACTCGTGGAATCCGAATCCCAACGTCGCCACGGGAGCTGTGATTGGTGGTCCCGACCAGGGCGATAACATCTACGATTCCCGCAGCAACTACGCTCAAATGGAGCCCGCGACTTATGTCAATGCTCCTGTTGTTGGTGTGTTGAGTGAGCTTGCTGTTGGTCGCCGCTATTGACATCCATGATCATTAAACCCACGCCGCCAAACCATCACAAAGAAAAGAAATCTTCCTGTTCACTTGTTCGTCGACTCCCATCCCCAAAGAAGAATGGACATCTGTGGAGTAAAGGTACTCTGCTCCTGGTATCCAACAACATTCCCAACAAAAATATTCTACCTCAAATATCTATACTGTTACAGTTGTGGAGAAGATCAGAGGATGCTTCCTTCAGCTCCCGGCTTCTCTAAGTCTTTTACCATATCAATATCTCAACATCTATAGCGCTCCGATGTGAAAACCCCCCGGCTACATGGATTAGTTCAGGAGGGTAGTTCCAGACGTTAATCTCGACTTACGTGTGTTCCAGTATGTAACTAAGAATTGGGCAAGATCCATCTAAGAATTCGTAAGCTCCAACCGTTTCCTGCATACTCGGTTCATTCACCAGTGGCTTGTTTGACTCTGTCATTCTTTCTGTGCTCATGTTGTTTACATTACCTTTTTTTACTCTCAAACGGAAGTACCATGGACGCTAAGATTCACCCCTTCTCAGCATTGTAACATGAGATGCATCACTAAATCTAGGTCCCAGTTAATTGCCGACAACTACAGGTGATCATAACATTCTCTTCTACTCTGATGCTGCCACAGACCAGGAATGTGTTGCACTAATTCCTTAAATTATTTCGAGCTGTGAAGCCACTGGAAGGAAATGTGACTCGAACATCCGCAGAATGTCATGGAAAATTGACAGGCAACCTACCTTTCAGAAGCACACCATTCTTGATCAAGATTGAGACTGACATCATATTCTCCGATTGAACAGCCACGAGGAGACCAAAAAAATAGGAATTTTTTTTTGTGAAAACTTTACGAATGCACCCATGCGCAACGCTGTGGGATATGTGGGTGATCTTTGCGTACAGCGTTGCAAAGACTGTTTGTAAAAACTACGGCATGACTCGAACTTGAACTCCAGCAGTGAGAAGGATGATGAGCTACTGGGCACTTTTGAAACCAAGGAAGAAAATGATGTGAAACCTCTAAGTTACTAGATCTCCAATCAAGTGCAAACTTCGACTCTGGAGTTACTTAACTGTTCGCAATTCGTGGGATTGAGGTATAGTTTCATAGGATGTATTGCCATTTCGAAAATTGTTTTTTGAAGGTTCGTGGCCTAGGAATGATCAGGTAACTTTGTAGCTGATTTAAGACCGTGGCTGTATTCATCTTGTTTTTGTCATCTTTGATCATATTCTATCTTTTCGAATTTATCTGGGGCGAAAATTACCACCGCTAATAACGAGGAAACAGGCAGTATGGTTGACCATGTGTACCTTGCGCATGAAAGACAATTCCGCACTTTTGGCTCTACGGAGACGCTTGGCTTCCAGCACTGGCGATGCTCAACGTGAATCCTTGCCAAAGACATGGACCGAAATTGTGGTGGTCGTGTAGTGTTCGTCTTGCTCTTCAGCACATCTACACACTTTCTCCAACGCAGTCAAGCTGTTCTGATATTGAAACCTTTTCTTTTGCGAGAACATCTCACAATCATAGAAAGACTTCACCCCAACTGCTTTGAGAATGCCCAAGTATGTTAGATCGACCCTTGGAATTTCAGTCAAGGAGAACAATACAGCCGCTGTGAAAGGACTGATCATTCATTGGTTAGAATGAGTAACATTAATAGCCGGATCCTACTTGAAAAGCAAAGATGAAATGAAGAAGAGCGGTTTCCCATTCGTGATGGAATACATCGACTTGTGCTTGTAAAAGTCCAAAAGTAAGTTAACAGTATGCTCCTTAAATCATGAAACTTATCACTCCTGCTCTCGATCCCTTGAAGAAGTTTATGTATCATGTTTGAATCTAACGAAGTTATTGAAATTACGAAAATCTAACGTAGTTATTGGAATTATTCATCATGAGCCTATTTGACAAAGCCTCATACTCAACATTGTAAGTAATTCCTCAACGAAGATCAATACAAGTAAAATGATATGTCTAAAAATGCTCTTAGACCCGATCTGTGAAGTTTCTTACGAGACGGGAGATTCCATCTTGTTCAAGGACACAGTGCCATTATTGATAGCAAGTTTGGGGCCACGAGAGGAAGGACGTACCAACTGATAAACTAGAGACAATAAATCCTTAAGATTTCTTCGAGAATATGCTAAATTCGCATCGAAGCTAGGTGCAGCTTCTGTAATGTGTGAACTTTTCTTCGCAGTGATCATTTAGACCACGAATTAGCTAGAAAATGCGACACTATATCTTTCTTTCACCCTCTAACCGTTCTTTGAACATTGTCTCATTACGTCCGAGCAACGAGAACATTGCTACGAGTCAGAGCTCCCCTGAGGTAAATTTTGACAAAGTGGGAGTGTTTTTCAACTGTGCGCAATTCAATAACAATTATCCTTCGCCATTTCTAGTGTCAAATCGGGCAGTATATTAGAAGTAAGTAATCTGAGGGTTTTAGATTGAATTTAATAATCAAATTAATTGTTAAAATGAGTATACATTGTTTTTACCTTATCAGAGGAGCAACTGATTAGGTCGCGCTCCTTTGACAGTGTGCGATGTTTCATTCTCATTCAGTTAGTTATGTTTGGTTATTGTTTGTGATTGTTTCCAACACGGCCGCTTAACCAAAGTATCATGAATGTGGGATTTCTCCTCCAATCAGGCCAAGCATGGATTAGTGTTGGGCAAGCTTTGGCCCAGAGAGTGATTTTGTGAGGATGTCGACACGCATGGTGTGTGGAGCAGTAGTGGAACACAACCTTGTTTTGAGCTGCAAGTTGGTGTATGAAGTGGTAGCATGTAAAGATGTACTTTGTAAACAAATAGTATCTAATAGAATGAAAACAAATAGTATCTACTAATGCTAATGCGGACTGATTGTCACAGTACACAAGGGTTGGAGTTTTTAGGGTTTTAGCACAGTGAAGATTGTGGAGGAGTAGTTGCAGCCACATGAGCTCGGACACTACTATCGCCATGGCAACATACTCAGCTTCAATACTAAAGACTGCCAATTTTTGGCATGTAGAGCTCTAACTAATGGCTCAATGGGATAGAAGGAAGATGTACCCAAAAGTCGAGCGGTGTTGATCGATTTCAACTGCCTAGTTGACATCACTGAAGCTGTAAAGCTGTAAAGAAGGTGTGGAATAGCAAAGATGCATCAATACTCCAAGTATAGATTGATAGTACCATAGAAATAACAAAAAAATATATTTACAAGTGCAAACATGGACACTGTTGGAGGTATTCATATATTATACAAGAACACCGATTGTAAAGAATAGATTTGGGCAAGTGCACAAGTTGGCCCAATTCAACAAGTCCAAGGCAATTGCATAGAAGAAAGTAATACTTAATGCAATTTTGGTAGGAGAAGTTAGATAGCTGGATGCTAAAAAGTGCATCCTAGGGGCTATTGAGGTCGATACATGCTTGAAGATTTTCAAACTAAAATTGATAGTTTGAAAATCTACTTAGAAGTTATCACTTTTTGATGCATAGGGAAGGCCAAAAAAATCTATTTTTTATTCACCATGTGGAAATTAAGTTCTTCAACTATGATAGATTGCCAATAGTGGCTCTTAGAAGATATCATTGCTTATGCATAGAAAGTTGGTTCCAAAAGTAGTATAGTAAGGGTGAGGAAGGCTTGTTTTGTTTTAGAAGGTTGAGATAGAGGACTCCATGACCAAAGAGAACAAAGATCATAGTATTTGGATGGAGCTTGCAAAAGAAATACCTCTTTGTTGATACAATTCATAGATTGGTATAAAAATATCATACAAGAAATTATCAAAAAAAAAGAACATTATAGATAAAAATAAAAATAAATGCTCATGAATATAATTACCTAAAAAAGGCATGAAGGCCAAGCTAGTAGAAGATTAGACAAAATGCTATAGAGATAGATGAAGTTGGAATAGAAGGTATTCTTTGGAGAAAATTTCAAATATAAGTCTAAATTGTGCATAGAAAAAATTTAAAGACAAGAGAGACATAACATAAAAATTCATCAATCTATGCTAGGGGCATTTTGGCTACACTAGAGTCATTATTTGAAATTGAGGATATATAGCAAGAACTTAGTAGTCGATGATGAGGATAAAAAGTTAGAATTTAATAAATAAAAATAATATTTTGTGGTAGAATAGCATACATGGGCTGAGTATCAAGTGGATATTGATACAAATTAGTAAATACAAGTAGAATAGCTAATAAGTGTGTATGTAAAGTCATAGACATAGATTTATTAATAATAAGATGCTAAAATAGCTCTAAAAGGAATTGTGGATGCTGATCAAAAGGCATATATAGAGCAATAGAAAGCCTTTGGGATTTCTAACTCAAAGATTCATATACATGTGGATTAGCAAGGAGTTGCAACTTATTGAAAAAAAAAGATTGGAATCTTCTTCAAAGATGATATTAAATAGATGATTGGATAGAAAAAAGGGGTAATCCACTATTAATCAAGATTAGACAAAGCTCTGATATTGTAGGTGTACTCTTGTCAATTTGTCAAGGACAAGAACTCGATGAAAAAACAATTCAGACAAGTAAGCCTTCACTCAAAGAAAAGTAACAAAATATGAATAATAAGTATGTATATTGAAAAGAGAAACTAGAATGGCTATTGCCAAAAGACACGAAAACTAGAGACCCTTGAAACTAGACTAGAAGCAAGAAAGGAGTTGACAAGAGTGAAGAAGCCTTCACTCTTGTCTCTATATATACTATCTAACTAGGGGCTACGTGGCGACGTTCTATAGGACCTTCAATATGTGTTGACTTTGTAGGACACATGCCTTGACTTATAAGGCAAGTTTTTCTATGTGTGGGCCACATAGTTAGCTTGATCTTCAAGCTAACAACATGTGTGGCACATGGCCAACTTGTTGACGATGTTTCTAATCCAAAAAGTCAATTAAAGATACCTATGAAGTCAAAGCAGCGTCTAGGAAGTTTCTAGGAAGCTTCTATATTAAATATTATAGAATTAACTTACTTTTATCTACTTTTACTTACTTCTACCTATTTCTATATGTAATTATTAGCTTACATGATTATGGCCGTGACAATAGCCACTATCTAATATACAAAGTTGCATTTAGTAGTGGAAGATATTGCAAGAAAAAGCTAAGGTGGCCACCATGCATGATCAAGAATAGGGAGCACCATTCGAGAAGGTTGTACCATGAGGCCTTTATTAGTACTATATGCAGTGACAAATTAAGAAGATGTAAAAAATACAAAAATATGATACATATAATATATTAGAGAGACAAAGTATCTCGCCATTTGCCATTAAAATCTCTACTTCTATTTAGTCATAGATAGATAAGGTTGTATCATTACTAAAATAGATTTTTTTTATCACCATTTACAAAC